ATTTTCCTATGGCCTGTGTTGATTTATTAGCAAATCTAGCTACAGCAAGGAACTTTCCAACCTTCAATTTACTGCCAGCCGGTAGTATAGATCTTATCTCACGAATGAAAACTGTGTAGAAATGGAAGATGGATAGCCTTGCGTGTTACGGTCCCCTCCAGCAGGAGCTTTTTACTGAAGAAAGTGGTTCTTGAATAATGCAGCACAATTAAGCATCTGTAGCTCCTCCAGCCCGACTACTTAATTAGCTTGGCACGGGCTACATATATGGACTTTCAAAGACATTTTCTTGAATGAAAGGAACAAGATGAACAGCTGTGACTGTTGCTTTTATCTCTCCAGACGCAGGAGATTACCCTCAGCAGTCTGTGGGAATGAGCAGACAAATCTCACTTGCTACAACGGAGGCAACTGCTCAGAGTTCCAGACTGAATTAAAATGTATGTGCCGGCCAGGTTTTACTGGAGAACGGTGAGTCGCATCAGAACTTTATGGAAGGGAATTCTGGGCTAAAGAACAGTGAGATGACTCAAAGTTCGCTTTCTCCTCTAATTTTTCATCTCAGTTCCCACAGGAAAATCTATGCGGAAATGTAAGTACAGACAGAGCCAAACAATAAAAAAGAAGAAAAATTACAGTGTAGGTCAAAGTAGAGGACATTTTATTAGCCAAGACTTCGAACAGGGAACTATGTCTTCAAAAAATGTATAACGTGCTATTTTTCTTTCTTATAAGTACTTCCGGTTTTATGTGTTCCCCCCCCCACTAACTCTAAAACATGAGGCAATATAGTTACTGTCAAAGTAAAATGAAATACATGTACATATTGCTTCATAGAATTACCTACAACCCAAAAAGTATACACACCTTACCCTATAATTCTACCTTTCCCAGAGAAACTATCAACTCTTATTCAGCTAATACAGGACTCATTAATATGGAATTAGCCAATGGCTTCAGTGACCTATAGTCTGCCAAAAACACAGGCAAATTTAGGCATAAATTTGACTGGCTGGTGGTGAGGTCAAGGGTGGAAAGACTACATACTCCACAGCTTTCATTAGATTCTCAAAGGACTCTATGTCCCCAAAGAGTACTTTATGGAAGGGAATTCTGGGCTAAAGAACAGTGAGATGACTCAAAGTTCGCTTTCTCCTCTAATTTTTCATCTCAGTTCCCACAGGAAAATCTATGCGGAAATGTAAGTACAGACAGAGCCAAACAATAAAAAAGAAGAAAAATTACAGTGTAGGTCAAAGTAGAGGACATTTTATTAGCCAAGACTTCGAACAGGGAACTATGTCTTCAAAAAATGTATAACGTGCTATTTTTCTTTCTTATAAGTACTTCCGGTTTTATGTGTTCCCCCCCCCACTAACTCTAAAACATGAGGCAATATAGTTACTGTCAAAGTAAAATGAAATACATGTACATATTGCTTCATAGAATTACCTACAACCCAAAAAGTATACACACCTTACCCTATAATTCTACCTTTCCCAGAGAAACTATCAACTCTTATTCAGCTAATACAGGACTCATTAATATGGAATTAGCCAATGGCTTCAGTGACCTATAGTCTGCCAAAAACACAGGCAAATTTAGGCATAAATTTGACTGGCTGGTGGTGAGGTCAAGGGTGGAAAGACTACATACTCCACAGCTTTCATTAGATTCTCAAAGGACTCTATGTCCCCAAAGAGTTATAAATCAGGGCTCCATAGGATACTGATCTGAACAGAGGATAATATTCAGTCATAACGCCTAGTTAAACTTAGCACCATGTCATGCATCTCACAGATAGTCTCCCTAGTTCTGCAAAGGTTTTATTGTTTTCATTTTGCATTTGGATAAACCAAGGCTGAGAGGTTAAGTGACAGATTCGGCCTATCCTGATGCATGCTGCATTAAGATGGAGCTTCCCTCAAGGCTTCTGCTCATCCAGCTCCAATGCTGGCATAATGCGATGAATATATCTTTGCTCACCCCAATTAAAACAAAATGGAAAAAAAAAAATTGCTCCTCCATCCTACATCCAGGGTAGGATACACTAATATCTGATCAAACTTCCTACTTTGAACAAACTAAATACAGTCAAGTACTTTCGGAAAGAGATTTCGATGGAATGACTTTTTTCCCATTGGATAACTAATAAAATGATGAATGGAATTGTCCTCCCTGGCAACTGGACTTGGAATTGATTGGAATTTTTTAGTTGGTTTTTCTGGCATCTCACTGATACAGCTCTTTGACCATTTTTTGCAAAACAGCAGGGAATACAGGGTATACCTGCATTTTTCCCTTCCAGTGTTTCCTGCTAACAACACTCCTTGCTTTCATCGCCAGCCTTTCGTGGTTGGCATTAAATGGCACTGGCAGTCCAAGTATATATGTGACTGGAAGGAGGTAACCTTGAGTCACATTCTATTTGTTATTCTACCCATTTATCATGCAACATTTTAACTCAGAGACCATTCAGTTGGCCTCCAGCTCCATAAATCTTCAAATTAGTGCAAATATTTCGTTGACCTGAACTTTGAGGAACTTCTCAACTATCTTTAAGTGCTGGTTGCTTCCTGGCTTCCTGTCACAGTTTCTGCAAGGTGCCACAATACACAGAGCTCACCCAAAGCCTTGGATTATTTTTCTCTGCAACTCATACACTGTCCCTACTTAGGAAAAATGTTTCCCTTTCCTTTCATGATTATTTGTATTTGGTGTTTAAATTTAGATGGTTGATTTGAAACAGGGAAAGGAAGGAAAGATCAGATAAGAATTGTCCTTCCTCTCTCAGAAGACTTTTCTTTCTTTTTTTTTTTTTTTTTTTGGTGTGTGTGTGTGAGAGAGAGATTTTTGCAATAGGGCACATGCACTCACCTGAGAGATAGAAAGCAAGAAACCACCATTCACCCCCCTGGGGGATTGCCACACGGCAGTCCCTTCTCCACCATTGTCCTCTTGGGATTTTGGGCACGCATGCACACATGCCCATCATGAGTTTTAAGCCACTCGATCTGGGACTCGAACCGTGAATGACTCTATTGAAATCCAGGGATGTAACCATTATGCCATCTGCTGGTCCCCAGAAGACCTTTCATCTGTTTAAACTTCTCTGGCACAAACTAATTTCTAAAACTAAGAATCTGTGCTCAATGGTCTCTGAAAGTCTTTGACCATTGTTGGTTACTTCACTGATGCTAACGGATCAGTGTGCTTCCATCTAGTAATTCACCTCTAATGAAAGCGCCAATGATGCTTTTAATTTATGTGCATGTGCCATCCTCCGTTTAGTTCAGAACAGAAAGAGATAAGAAAGTGAGAAGGAGTATCTACAGGAAGGCTGAAAATATTGGGCAATCGCCCAAGGTCTAGGTTAATGTGACTGCTGTAACTTTCAAGGATATTGAACACTCTCCTCTAATAAACTTGACTTCTCTCCTGCCTGATAAAATCTCCAACTTTATAGTGTCCTCCTGGAAGTTTGTGAAAGATGGATGGTGTGAACACTTGGGCCCACCCAAGACAGAGAGCATTTGGCAAGCTCCTGAGAATTGTCAAGTTTTGCTCGGATCTAATCAGAGAAGTTTCCTTCCAGCCCAGAGGCCTAAGCCAAGGAAGGAAAACAAAATGTCTCAGCTATGCTTGGTATTCAGCAGGATAGGGAGTTGTTTTCCTTGGAAAAAATCTGTTTTTTCCTTTATGCCTTAGGTTGGCCCAACCCCATGACCACTACCTCATCCCCCTTTGGTTTGGAGCCTAGTGATTGGTCTCTGACCCTTACATAAAGTTTTATCTTTTGGGAGGTAGCAGAAAGGGTAGGAAAAATGAAAAATTATTTACCTAAAAAAGCTGCTCAGCAGATTTTCATGCATTTCCCAAAGTAAAAATAGATGCTTTAGTTTCCGCTTCATCCCAAGGCCTTAATAGAGTGTTTGACACATTCTAAGTGTTAAATGTCTAGTAGAGGAGTTATTGGTGAAAAACTCAATTAATATACAGGAAAATAAATTACTGGTAGAAAATTAAGTGAAAAATGGCAGTGTCCCAAAGAAGACAAAAACCTTTCAAGTCTTAGAGTCAATGTCACTCGTTTCGGAAAATTTAGCTTTAAAAGTCATTCTACCTGAACATTAGAAATCCTTCTTGGCTGTTGGAACACAGGTTAATTAATAAGTGAGTTCTTTTAGTCATCTACTCTTGCTTTTGTTAAAAACAAAACTATATATATATAGGAAACCTGGAATTTCAAAGGATAGTAACTCAAAATCTGCAAGAGTAAACCCATTCTTTTGGTCTGTCTTCGGTGGGCTTTTTCCCTTTAGCCCAAGGTCACAGACACATTAAACTCCCAACAGCACCACTGTAGGGCTGCTCTGAGCAGACTCCAGATGGGCCAACAGTCTGCTTCTCATGATTCACACGTGGCCCTAAAAAATTACATGTTTATAAGTGAGCAAACTCACGAATGGTCCTTTATTTTTTATTCCTTATTTCATTTTTTAAAAATTTCTTTCTTTATTTTAATTCAACCATAGAAGGACAGAGTGAGATAGAGAGAGAGAGGGAGAGTGAAAACGCAAGCTGCCAGGTCCAGGACTCAAATTGTAGTCGACTATGTGTGAGTCCAGCACCTTAACCACCATGCCACCTGCTGGGCCCCTCATTTCATATTTTATTTAAAAAAATGTTTCAATTATTTTTCATTGTGATTTCTGGTTTCCATAGAATCAATGCATACCTTTGTGGGCTACAGTGTTTTCAAGCCCAGTTTGCTCTAGGATTCTAAATATTTGTGCCTAATTTCTCATCCACATTGATTCTGTGTGCGTGGTCTGAATTATTTCCATTAAAACTAAAATTTGTGAAGGAAATTCTGAGGCCCATCTCCCACAGGGTAGATGCGACTTGTTCTAGGTAGTGAGGCCAAGTTTTGGCCTTTCCCATTATCACAGCCCCTGTATACAGAGGGTTGTGGGTTTCGCTGTTTGTTCATTTTCAAGGTGTGAAGAGGACATGGACGAGTGTGCCTCCGATCCGTGCATCAACGGGGGTCTGTGCCAGAACCTCGTGGGCAGATTCCAGTGCCTCTGCGACGTGGCCTTCGCGGGCGAGCGCTGCGAGGTGGACGTAAGCGGCATCTCCTTTTATGTCTCTCTCCTACTCTGGCAGAATCTCTTCCAGCTTCTTTCTTACCTCATTCTGCGCATGAATGATGAGCCCGTGGTTGAGTGGGGTGAACAGGAAGATTATTAATGTGCATTTGAACATCCCAAGATGGAAAAAACCCTGAATTTCAAAAGATATCTTCATTCATTTAGGTCACAAAAGAAATAAGGAAATTTATAAGAACTATCTGAAAATCACATTAAACTCAAGGCCTATTTTAAGCAGGTCACAAGCACTTTGTGTGTACAAAATTTTTTCCCATTTTAGCTTTAAATATGAAAAATGATTGTTCTTAACATAACCAGAAATGTCTCACTATTGAGTGTAGTTAGTAGCAATATAGTTTTATTCTTTTTTTAAGAATTATTGATTTATTTTTGTTATTATTATTAAATTTGCTATAGGTCATGAACACTCACCAAAAAGAGACAGAGAGAGAGAGAGGGAAACTGAGAAAGCAGCCCACCAGGTCCAGGATTCAAACTGCAGCTGGCCATGTGGAAGTCCAGTGCCTTAATCAGCACACCACCTGTTGGTCCCTGTAGTTTTATTTTTAATACTTCCATATTTGAATGACCAATAAAATGAAAAAAAAATATTTTCTGCCCACTACATTTAAAAAACTTTTTTGGAGAGGTTTTTGCTATAGGGCACGTGTGCTCACCAGAAAGACAGAGAGAGACAGAGAGATAGAAAGCAAGAAATTGACCCCCCAGGGGGGTTGGCCACACTGCAATCCCTTCTCCTCCATTCTCCTCTTGGGATGTTGGGCACACATGCACATGCACCCAGTGTGAGTTTAAGCCACTGGGTCCAGGACTCAAACCGTGGTCGACTACGTGGGAGTCCAGCAACATAGCTATTACGCCAACTGCTGGTCCCCTTGAGTTTTCTTGAAGGTATGTTTTTTCCAAAATTTACCAATAAATTTATCTTCTTTAAGTATCTTTATTAAAAATCACAAAATCATGACACTTGTAATCAAAATATATTTGGCATTATGATTTTTAAGTAAATATACACTTGAAATGATGGATCTACAAATAAATTAATAAGATACATAAAAATTAATATAATTTTGCTTAGCTTTAGTGGGCTATAAACTAGCAATTGAAAAAATTATTTGCTAATATTTTTAGTTTTCACTGGCATGTTATTATTGATGCTAAATGTTTGTGTGGATATATTCTTCCACAGGAGGCCATATTTGTATTCATTCAAAGGGAAAATTGTGTGATCCTGTAAATGAATTTAGAATGCGACTAAAATACCAACAGCTTCCCAAATGTTATATAGTAAATGTGTGTGTCTTTAGGAGCTGGTTTGAAAATGAGAGGATAATGTATCCATTGGATGATTTCCAATACTTGACTGTCTCAATCATTTTAAGAAAGTTGTCTTTCTGTGGAAATGACCAAGGAAACCCAAATACATCATTCAAGCAGAAGGGCAAAATAATGTACTATGAAGCAAAGGAAACGTATTCCATTGTATGTTGCAGTACTAAGAGAAGATTTTACATAGCAATTCCTATCCTGTGGAGTGCTGACGATCATTTCAAACTTCAAACTCATTTCGAAGGATTTTCTTGGTGCACATTCATTTCCCTCACATTCAAGGCTGTATATGTCTTTACAGGGCTTCAGGATCTCTTCCAAAGTTTGATTATTTGATAAGACATTTGGGGAAAACCTTCCGGTTGACATTTGCATCCACAAGTATTTGCAGTAAGCATAAACCAGATTATAGTCGAAGGCAGTCTCTGTAGGTTTCCCATTTACTCCCTTGCAGACATGGCTGTATTCATGTATTTACAGGCTGTTCCCAATATAATATATTTCTGACCAAATATATGTAAGGAAGGTTCTCTCACTTTCTCTGAACAATTCTGATGCTTGTGTTGTCATTGTAATTGTCGATTGCTTTCTCATTTTCCAAGTGTCTTGTTATCATGAGATATCTGACTAAAAAAGCTACTGCTCCCTTTCTCTTCCTATTTCTGTATTTTTCTACTGCATTGTATGTGACTATGGCTTTTATACATTTACACAGAAAAATAAAACCTTTGTTCTCGCATCTCCTGTTTTTCATCCTCTGATGATAACTGTCTTTGTTTGTCTTGATGTACTTTGCATGTTGAGATGGGCACGGCCAGGTGCACGCGCACACACACACCCCACAGGGGACACAGAACACTAGCCCCGTCTCCCTAAATTGTGATGTCTTTCTCCAAATGTGTCACCACAAGTAAAGGCCTGTGGCATCAAGATCAAGGTCCATGCAAATAACCCTCTGGTTGGCATTCTAGAAATTATAACATCCCTGCTTGTTCATACTATTGATTTCAGTCATACCTGCCACAACTAGCCATAGATCAATCTTGTCCTTTTTTCTCTTTTCTTTTTTTTGAGAGAGATTTTTACTGTAGGGTGCATGTGTTTCCCCAGAGAAACAGAGACAGAGAGTTAGAAGGTGAGAAGTCACCCTCTAGAGGGAAAGGCCCACTGCAATCTCTTCTCCATTCTCCTTTTGGGATTTTGGGCACGCACGCACATGTGCTCGGCGTGACTCTTAAACTGTCGGGTCTGGGACTCAAACTGTGTTTGACTACGTGGGAGTCCAGTGACAAAACCATTATGCCATCTCCTGGACTCTAGATCAATCTAGTTTTAAGGAGAGGCCTTCTCACCTAAGTGAGAAAAATTCACACAGCCTGGACCACATTTTGAAACATAGTGTTATATGTTTACTTGAATAAAAATAAATTCATTTTACTCGGTTTTCAGATTTAAAATTTATACTAAACAAAGCTCTGTTTTAGGGCCTGCCTCCTCTTTCATTGCACTCATATTCATGGGGTGTGGGTTTTTATTACTCTCCGTTTTGGAGAAATAGAATAGCCAAGTTTAGAAAAATTAGTGTTTTAGCAGCACAGAGAGACAGCTAATTAATGTTATGCCAGGGATTCAGATAAGCCATTTTAAAATAAATAATTTTTTCAATTATACTTTTTCAATACAGGCCAACCAAAAAATCTTTCACCTTCCTGACTCTTCACTAAATTTTGTTCCACAATCCTATTGCTATTTCTGGGTTTTAAGATAGAAACTATTCAGTTTTCAATTGGTGGAATTAAAATGAAGCGTCTTGTTTTTGTTTTTCTGAAAGTGGTGCCATTATACATTTAGGTAGGAAGCCAGTGAAGAAATAAACCTGTCTCTCCACTGCCGGCATTATTACAATATGAGCTATTTCACCTCTCTTCCTAGTTTCTTCGCTTGTTCAGCAGATGTTGAATGGATGCCTACTAGGTGATAAGCCCTGAACTAGGAATTAAACACAATGCTCTTGGTCTCACAGAGGATGCAGGTTCCTGGGGCCGGTTAGGGCTGAAGTTAGCACCAGCCTTAAGGGACCACACAGCACGGGTGTTTTGCTCAGCATCAAAGCTTAATCTGGAAGGTCAAGGGATGTTTCCCAAACCCTAAGCTGCCATGCAAAGGTGAGCGAGAGCTAGGCTGTGGAAGGAGTGATGGAGCAGTGGAGGGTAGGTGGAGCTGGGTGCAGGGTGGGAGCTCCTGAGACGGAGGTGTGGGAGCTAAGCAGAAATGGGCCCTTAGAAACCACCACAGAGCCCTTGGCATTGCTTCCTAGGAGCAATGGCAAGTCTCTGAAGGATTTCAAACACTTGCATTTGGGCTTTAGCATGGAGGATGGATTAAAAGAAAGGCAAGACTGGACCCAGAAAAACAAAACAAAACAAAACAAAACAAAAACAGGAAATTGTTGCAGTAGCACACACAAAGGGAAAGGAGATTCTGCATTGCTTTACATGGTAGAAGAATGTGAAAAGCAGGGGTGGGTGAATAAAGTCTGAAGTAGTAAAATTTCATGATTGGGAGAAAGTATAGGTCTGGGGTGGGCTGAAAAGTTAAATTCAGGGAATATTGTTTTTAAAATAGTCATTGATTGAATAGATGAATCGGCGTAATCCTCTGTGAGATATCCAAGTTAGTAATCAGTGTGGATATTCCAGTCGGGAGCTCTAGAGCACAAGAAACTTTTCTAGGCTAGGTTCTAATGCTGTCGAATTTTGCATTCCAGTCTCCATGTATGTAACCCACCCATTGCATTTATCTATTACCCTATGACAGTTTTACCTCAAATTTAGCAACTTGAAACAATGCACATTTATTACCTCAGAGTCTGTTGAGCCATGGTCCAGGCAGGGCTGTGCTGAGTCCTCCTCTTAGCATCTCACAGGGAGCAATCAAGAAGTCAGCCAGGAAACCAGTCTCATTTGATGTTCCACTGCGGGGGAACTCACTTCCAAGTCCATAGGAAGCTGTTGGTGGAATTCAATTCCTTTGGTTGTAGGACTGAGGCTTCAGCTGCGTGGTAACGGTCAACCAGAGGCAGCTCTCAGTCACTAGGGTAGCCGGGTTTTTTTACCACATGGGGCTTCCCAGCATGGCTGCTTATTTCCTCAGAGCCAGAAAAGGAGGGAGAGATTCCAGCAAGGTGGGCATTACAGTCTCCTTTAACACCATCACATGCTCAAGTCCGTAGGATCACACAGGATACATAGTATCCCCACCTTTATCATCTTCTGTGGGTTGGAAGTGACTCACAGATTCCCACCACACTCAAAGGAGACAGCCATGCAAGGAAGAAACACCAAGAGGCGGGGACAGTAAATCCACCCGGAGGGGCTGTCTGCCACACCTTACGTTCTCATCTTCATCCTTTGTACTGCATTCTGCAACATTCCTCAGATCTCTCTTCCAGAGTCCATGTATGTATGATCCACTGTGTATAATCCCCCCTGAAGTTCATTTTTTCCCATTAGAGAGAGAAACAGGCACTCCCTCCAGGGTCTTCACACTGCAAACTACCTAGTCTCAGCTGGCCCGGATGATGGCCACGTGCACACCCAGTGCGCTCAGAGCGTTCCCAGAATG